CCTGAAGTCCAGGGTCCGTATCATGCTGCTTACCTTTCTTCCCTGTGTCAGGATCCTGAACTCAACCAACTCATGGTCACTGCCTCCCAGATTCCCATCCACTTTTGCTTCCCCCACTAATTCTACCCGGTTTGTGAGCAGCAGGTCAAGAAAAGCGCCCCCCCTAGTTGGCTCCTCTAGCACTTGCGCCAGGAAATTGTCCCCTACGCTTTCCAAAAACTTCCTGGATTGTCTATGCACCGCTGTATTGCTCTCCCAGCAGATATCAGGAAAATTAAAGTCACCCATGAGAATCAGGGCATGCGATCCAGTAGCTTCCATGAGCTGCCGGAAGAAAGCCTCATCTACCTCATCCCCCTGGTCCGGTGGTCTATAGCAGACTCCCACCACTACATCACTCTTGTTGCACACACTTCTAAACTTAATCCAGAGACACTCAGGTTTTTCTGCAGTTTCGTACCGGAGCTCTGAGCAGTCATACTGCTCCCTTACATACAGTGCTACTCCCCCACCTTTTCTGCCCTGCCTGTCCTTGGAGCTGCTCCCAGGAGCCTCCTGCATGCTGTGGGGGGGGGGGGGGGAAGAGGGGTGCTAATGTCAGTGTCCCCCTCCCCCCCACTCCTGCCCCCCATCTCCACAGAGCAGGGGGAGGGACAGGAAGGGGATGGAGGGAGCTTGCAGGCAGCAGCTGCTGTCTCAACTTGCTGATCTACTTAAAAGGCAATGTACTTAGAGTGGGGTCAGCGTACTTAAAGGGGCAATGCACGTCTCTCACACTCACAGTATATGTCTCGGTGTCTCTCTGCCATGCTGTGTCTCCTCCCTCCAATCATGCTGCCTTGTAGAGTGTGAAGCTACATTAACAATGTGTTACCCTTGAGAGCTCAGCCGAGTGCTAGTTCATCATTTAGCAGGAAGGCATTCCCTGGGAAATATCCCACCCTCTTCCACCCTCTGACTCCACCACCTCAACCAAGCTTCACAATCATCATTGCTGTGTACAGTATTAAATTGTTTGTTTAAAATTTTTGTACTGTGTAGATGTGTGGGGGTATGCACACACACAAATCTAGTCTTTTGTCAGGCGAAAAAATTTCTTTGGAACCTAACCCCCTCTGTTTACATTAATTCTTATGGGGAAAATTGGATTTGCTTAACATCGTTTCACTTAAATTAGCATTTTTCAGGAACATAACTACAACGTTAAGCGAGGAGTTACTGTACGTGCTGGTTCAAAGCTTCCAGATGAAGCTGGCCCTCTCACTAGGTTCTACCTGGGTCCTGTCTGCCTATGCCCCTCAAGGTTCTTTTACCGGTGCCTATCAGCATCCTGAGTCTTGTACGTCTTATTGAAAGAGCACTAGGGTTGTATATTAGGATTACAGCAATGAAGTGCAAAATTTCTTTGTTTTAAATTAGACACAAAATCTGAAGAATTATGCTCACAAATTATAGGAGAAAGATTATATTACAACTAGTATGAGGCCTAAAAACCTTGACAGCATTATTTTTGAAGGTCAGACTAATTCAACCCCGCCCCCCCCATGAGGTACCTAATGTGGAAGAAGCAATAGAGGAAGTGCCAAAATCTATTGTGAAATACAATGTAGTGTAAAACCACACACTGCTTAGCTCTTCAACAATTAGAAGTTAAGTATGACTAAGACAAGAGAAGTACAGTATTTCACTTGGAGCCCTTGTTTACCTCAGGGCAAATCTATACTACAAAATTAAGTTGACCTAAGTTACACTGATATATAGCCACCACAGAATTGAATCAATTTTACACGTCCACACTACTCCTTTCGTTGGTGGTGTGCATTCTCACCAGGAGTGTTTGCGCTGATTTAACTGCTAGCATGGGGCATTGTGGGACAGTTTCTGAAAGGCAGCAATAGTCAGTATAAGCAAAGCATGTCTACACTGACAGTGCAGCGACCTAACTACATCGACTTAAGTGCTACATCTCTCTCAGAGGTGGAGTTAATAAGTCAGTGTAGAGGGCGACTTACATCGGTGGGAGCTACATATTACTGTGGACACTTACAAAGAATTAGGTCAATGTAAGCTGCCTTATGTCGATCTAACTCTGTAGTATAGACCAGGCCTCAGATCACGCTCAGGATTCTATCTAGAGATATAAGAGAACAAACTCAAGATATTCCACCTTTTTGAGAATAGCCTTTTTAAAATGGATGTGAGAAGCATTTCCTCTTTCTCTTCATGCAAGCAACAAAAATACAAGACGAGGCTGTTGACAGTGTTTGTGGTGTCTTCAGCATCTAAAGAATATGTCAATTTCAAAATAACTATACACATCTTACTGGGAGGTTACAGAGGCATTACCAAAGAAGAGAGACTGTCAAATTCTTCGTTGCAAACAAGTGAATGACAAATGTAACCCTTCCCCCCGCTCAGTTTGTGTGAAGGCACTCTTTGGGCCTCATCCAAAGGCCATTCAAGTCAGTGGAAAGACTCCCAGTGACTGCAATGGGATTTGGAAGTGTCACTTTCTTGCAAGTATTCAGCAGTTTTCAACTGTTCATGCACTGTTCACTTTGGGTACATTGACACTTCCTCAGGGACCATGCTTCCCAGCATAGGTAAACAGACACGCACTAGCTTTGCTCGAGCTGGTTCGCTAAAAATAGTGGGGTAGCATGGGTGGCAGCTTGGGCTAGCTGCCTGGTGCAAACCTGCCCACTGCCCCAAGGTACAGAGTCTGGAGGCTAGCTTGAGCCACCGCCCATGCTGCCCTGGCTACACTGCTATTTTTAGCATATTAGCAGGAGCAGAGCCAGCACATCCTTCTCCCCACACTGGGAAGCGTGCTCCCAGATGTAATGTAGTGATATTCTTTGCATGTACAGTGGTGAGCCATTGGTCACCCAAGTCATATGGCATTGTTTCTGCTCCCTAATTTGATGTGTGAATTATTTTTAAATGTGAGAATAAAAATTGATGAGGAGTTATTGAAAAATAATGAATATGTTTTCCATGTGGTATTTGTACAAAAAACAGCCATTCCTCACACACTCTTATTGGCTTTTCACATGAATCAATCTTTGTTTATGTGAAACAAGATGCATTCACACGGAAAGCAAATAGGAGTTATAAATATGGTCAAACAAATCAGTCCTTTGGGATCTGAGTGTTTACAAACACTGTTTTTGCGGGAGTCAACCAACTCTAACTAGGAGTAGTCACACAAATAGGAAAAAAATTCACAGATTGTTTTCGGAGGTAGAGGAGAAAAATTGAATTGTAAAGAAGAACAAAAACTACAGAACAGGTCCCCTAAACTCTCTGAACCAAATTCACTACTTGCAACCATTGTCTGGGTCTCTTTCTTATAACTCATAGGGGTTGCACAGATGTAACAAGGAGTATTACTCTTAACTTGTAATAATATTAAGGCTGGAATATTCATTCAAGCAGATTTATTGTATTTGTTCTCTTTAAAAATTAGGGAAATATCAAGTAACAGTTTGTCTAAATTACTGACAAAAGCTTGATAAACCAGTCAACATGAAAAAACAAACTTCATGAATATTTTGTTGGGCAAGTTGTTTTTATATCGATTTTGTGAGACAAACCCAAGCAAAGTCAAAGATTTAAACCATAAAAGCTGACATTATAACTCACCTGTTCTGAAAGGAAATCACCTCAACTTGAGTTAGTTACTAAATGTCAGATAAAAATATCTTAGCTTTTGTTGATTTATGCACAATTCACTTTTACGGTCTTAGCTACAAAAAGAAAGGGAAGAAATATATATTTGCAGTGGGTTATAAAATGTATCTCTAAAATATGTTTAGAAATTACCTCAGTTTAATACTACTGTAACATAATACAGTTGTCAGCATATTTCAAGTACTGTACTTAGATAAATGTCATAAGCTACATTTCATAAAATTTAAAGTCTCATTGTGTTAGTTTTACATTTCTAATGATCATTTAGTCCTTGACAGAGCAGTTAGTATTGATACTTAATTTGAAAAGAAGAAAGTTTATTTACAGACACTTAGGCAGTCAGGAGATGCAACAGAAATTCCACAAGTTAAAATTTTTCTAAAAAACAAAATACCTCATGCAAGCATGGAATTGACTGGGTCACTGAATTTTCACAATAAAAAGGGGTCTTTTTAAAGATACAAGTGTAAGATCCTAGGGCTGAGTTTTCAGAAAGACACAACTCTACATCTGTCCCAGAAGGCTTTGTGTGCACAAAGAAAAAGAAAAAGCAAAAGCAAAAGCAAAACCAAAACACTTGTGGAAATAGGCATTTGAGTACACAAATTTCATAGACAGCAATTTGACTGTCTGATTTGCGTTTGTTTATGTAAATATGGATTTGGAGCCAGCATTTGCACTCACAGAACTTGTGAGTACAAATTTACAGGCAGAGTTTAAACCGCGTTAGAAGTTTGGCTCATGGTATGCACATGACTTGATTAGAAAGTCAAGGAGCTCTGCCAACGGGCATGCATATTAAGCTCTCATTGACTTTAATGTTAACCACACACAGAGACAGGATTTGCTCTAGGATTGTGCAAAAAATTGGAACATCTGGGATTATCCTCAGCCCATAAAACTGGACAGATGGCAACACAAATTTGCTCTGAAATACCTATGTTGCTCTTGAAAATTAGTTCTTTAACACAGCAATGAATCCCCATTTTTGACTAAAAAGAGCTTAAATGCCTACATTTATTTTCCAAACAATTTTAGTGTTTGTCTTATAAACCCAGAACTTTTAACGTGCCTGTCTGAATGAGTGGTTAAACTTATCAAAAACTGTCCTGTGTACTCATTTATCAGCTGGTTCTATAAAACTCCCGAGCCCTTTCTTGGAAATCTCCAAGGAGGCCAGGAATGAATAGATATGCAGAACATATGAAATTTTCACATCTGTGAGTAGCCTCCCTAGGAAATTCCTTTGCATTACTGTTATGCCAATGTAACTGAAAAGGGTTTGTGTCTGTCTTTACATTTGGCAGAGCTGGGACCCTGATTTGGCAAAGACAGCCAGAGCATGGGCAAAGACATGTCAGTTTAAACATAATATCTATCTCAAGATACGCGGGAAGGCCCACCCTACCTTTACTTCTGTTGGAGAAAACATCTGGACTGGGTCTCTCCACATTTTTTCTGTGACTGCAGCCCTCACTAGTTGGTACAATGAATTCAAAGACTACGCCTATGGCACCAACACTTGCACCAACGTGTGTGGCCATTACACTCAGGTAAGTCATTTGCTACATTTCTCCAGCTGAACTTCAGAATGATTTTTGTCGATTGTAATTTAAAATGGGAGATTCTTATTCCAATTCAACAAACTATTTTCTAAGTCTTGTAATCACACTGTGCGCATGCGCTTTTTATTTCACTGTTTTAGAAAGGGCCCTTGAAATAAAGAGGATTTGTTTTTTAATCTTTTAAATTTAATCTTATTTGTGTTTCCCTGAAAGAGACTCTCTTCTAGCAAGGAATCAGATACAGACCCTCAGGCTAGTAGTAGCAATACAGGTTATTTAAGAGTTCAGAATGGGCTCAAAATCAGAATGGGGCAAGACTGGAAACTGGCTACAGGGTCTTTCAGTTTTAGGTCAGAAATTCAAAAAGATCAGGCTCAGATTGGTAATGACTAAAAAAATCATTATTACTGTTACCCGCTGTGTAATCCAGAAGCTATTTGCAATGCACAGCTTTATTCAGCCTATATTTATGAAAAATATGCACCATTTTTATGTGCAAGTAGGAGGTTTGCTTTATATTAACTATCTACATATTCTCACATATATATAGCTCTCGCTTTTATAAAGAGTCCCATTAAAAACTGCTTTCTGACTGCACAGTGGCCTATATGTTAAATGAAATTGTGGCATCAGTCCAGTTCATAGCAGATAAGGTTCATGTCTCCTGTGGGCAGTCTCACCAAAAAGAGGCAAAGGATCATGCGGCCATGAAGGCTGAGCTGTTGAGCTTTGCCTATAGACAAAAAGAGGATTTCAGTTTCTGGGAACATCATACCAGCATTTTTTGGGAGCAGTAAATTCACTAAAACTTGTTATAAAAAGTTTAAAATAGGGTGGAGGAATGGTTAGCGAGCAGAAAGTCACATTCCTGGGATGCTGAGAGGCAGGAATCCAGCTGACAGCCTTTCATTCTCATTGGATAAAGGGTAACTTTAGGTACTTTGAGCCAAACTGTACTTTTAGATAAATGTACATAACCTAACTGGCTTCAGCATGTGGGGAAATTGAGCTGAGTGAGAGATGAGCTGAATTGGGCCTTTATTGCACGTCATGTCTTTGACCTATTAACACTTTTCCAGATAGAAAAATAGTGCGGGTCAGTGGACTACAATGAAGTCAACGAGACCGATTCAACACACCTAACCTTCACGTTTGCTAGAAGAAGTCAACTACCTGCCCAAGTTATTTTCCTAGTCACACAAGATCAACATATGAAAATGCATCAGTGGAAAGAATTCCCGTTTGCCAGTGTTTTCAATAATTTAATGTCTCCTCCTTTATATGCATTTAAACATGACATATTTTGGGACGGGCTTGGTTACTTTTTGCAGAAGCCAGTCCCTGTACAGCATTCTACTTAGGCTATGTCTACATTGGCATTTGTCGGTATAACTTATGTTGCGCAGGGGTGTTAAAAACACACAGTCCTGAGTGACGTAAGTTACACCAACAGAAGCACCAGTGTGGACAGCGCTATTTCAGCAGGAGATGCTCTCCCGCCAACATAGCTACTACCACTTATTGGAGGTGATTTAATTACGTTGACGGGAGAGCTCTCTCCCGTCAGCATGGAGCGGCTACATGGGAAGTCTTACAGCAGTGCAGCTGCATCGGGACAGCTGTGCCACAGGTCTCTAGTGTAGATGTGACTTCACGCTGTACCTCATCTTTATGTTCCTGACTTATCCATTGTAAACGGTGCCCTGGATCTTCCACCTTTTCTTAGCTGGTACAGACCTTCTGTTTCCAGCCTGCTGATCCATTTACCTCCCTAGTCCTGTCTCCCCAGAAACGAGGCCTCACCCGTGTCCAATTACTCATGTCAAGCCAGGCCTGGACAAATGAGGAGCCCCTAGGATACATTTTTCTTAGTTCAGCAATTCTGTGTGTGTGTGTCACAAGTACAGTAGCAGTCTCTCTGTAGTCCCATGAATGTTAAATCGGGTATTTGATTGTAGCTTATGGTCCACTGCTTTTCAGGTTGTTTGGGCGACAAGTTACAAAGTTGGCTGCGCTGTTCACTTTTGCCCTACAGTAACAGGGTTTCATGGATCGAAGGCAGCCCATTTCGTTTGCAACTATGGGCCAGCGTAAGTCCTCTCATTACAATTATTGTACAAGGCTGTGGTGTGGGGGAGGAGCGACTCGTTACTTTCCGAGAAACTCGTGTTGACAGTGCTTGAAGCAGCAATGAGATCTTCCAGAGGAAGCCATGCCCAACTCTCTTTGCTCAGGGAGAGGGCTACCCACTGGAGTCAATAAAGGGGCCAAAGGTAAAATAGGGGAGATGCTGGAAGATGGACTGCATTGAATATTTGAGCAACTGATCTTCTGATTGGTTTGCCAGTGATACACCATACACTTGATGTTACTTCTGAGCATGCATGGAAATTTTTTAAGACTTTTGGCAGGAGTTCAACCCTAATTTTGAAATTTACATTCAGGGGATTTAGCCCTTAAACACAGAGCCTTTATCTGTGTAAACCTCGCCACTCCTTTTATCTATTCAGTGGCCCTTTGGGGGGAGGGGAGTAGTTCTCCAATTTAACTAGGTCATTCTATACATAGGGTATGTCTATACTGCAATTGGAGGTGTGGTTGTAGCTTGGGTGGACATATCTGAGCTAGCTTTAATCTAACTAGGGCAAGTACTAACAGCAGTAAAGCCGCAGCAGCAAGGAGTCCAGCCTAGATTTGTCACCCAAGTACTTAGGGTTCCAGGCTCGCAGGCCAAGTAATTACCCAGGGTCCTGGGCAGGCTTGTACAGCCCCACACTGAAGTCCATGCTGATGTGACTTCACTGTTCTCAATTTTCAGGCTAGCTAGTTTATACGATGCATCATCCCTCCCTCCCTCCCCCACCCCTAATTGCAGTGCAGACATACCCTAGGGTATGACTAGATTGACTAGAATACAAGACTGTACTTGCAAATATGTCAAACCAGTGCTTTATAAATTGTAATGCAGTATCCTTGGACTTCTAATACATCTCTTGATACTATGTGAGCCAGCATCCTATTCGTGTCCTTTACCGCTGCTGAATAGTGGATTGAAACTCTGTATGCCGTGTTTCTTGTACACCCAAATTCTATCCTTTAGCATGTGAGCTAACCCAATCAAACTATACTTCATTTGGGCATTAGTTCCATGAGTGTGCCTTTTGATTTAGTGACATTCAACCCTGTGCAGGGGGAGAGCACAAAAGCTATGGACCACTTAAATTCCACTTAATCCTTCATTTGAGTGCTTTGTCCTCAAGAGCGTTTACTGGAGATTATATAAACAAACAAATATGGGGTGAAATCCTGGCCCCATTGAGTTCAGTTGGGCTACAATTTCACCCAGACAGTCCCTAGAAAGGAAGGAGGGTGCGGAAAGAGAGAGAGAGAGGGAGAGACAATCGATGCCTATAACAGGCTGCATATAAACTGAAATAAAATAGCTCCCTTACAGATTCCCAGCCAGCCTGACAGGGATTCCTCTGTATTAAAAGGTGCAGTGCGCACAGTGTTCAGTAATTCTTTCAGTAGCATAGCTAAATACCACACTTTCAAAGTTCTCAGCATCTGGAAGTTGACATTTGGCCATGTTAGACAAAACTTCATTAAAATGGAGTTCCTAAACATGGGGTCCAGTCATTCCTGCTCTCTTCCATTTCACTGCATGTTCCGTGTGCAAGGGACTTTGCTGTAGTATTTCCTCATGATAAAATAATTGCAACAAAACGTGAACCCAAGACAGTCAAATTCTTCCCAAGGAGGTCAATATCAGAACAAAGTTGTCCCTCTTTGCAGTGGGAATTATCCGACACAGCCTTATAACACGGGAGCAGCATGCAGCAAATGCAACGGTGAGAAGTGTGTGGATAACCTATGTGGTAAGTAAAAAGGAAAGTTCCTCACTGAATGATATCATATGGAAAGACCCATAAATAAGACATAATATCAATGGACCATTGTCACAAGACAATGGTTGCTTGCTTTCAAGTATGTATGAGAAACGACATCCAAAAGCCAAGTATGGTAGGGATCCACATGGAGGAGGAAAATATGAAGAACCCTTTTCCACCCCAGGTAGCAAGAGACACTCTTAGCACACCGGTGAGCATTAGGAGTGAGCCAGGCTAATACCCCCACCAGTGCAACAAAACTGCAAGGGAATGGCTAGCCAGCCTGGGATCACAGCTAGGCCCAACCTTCTGTAAGCGTATGATTTGCTCCCCACCACGTGCTTGGGGTGGGGATGCAGAGAGGCAATATGCTGGTTTTTCAAAAGGAACATGAAGCAGCCCAGCTGGAAAAGTTTTCAGAAAATGTTCAGCCCAGTGACTGTACCACTGTGGATAACTACTTAATAGTCATTGGGCCAGAGACAGAGAACACAACATTACAATCCACCTGGGAGGTGGAAGACCCAGGGTCCAGTCCCCCTGCTCCAATCTCTCTTTTGTTATTTATCCACAGTGGAACAGCTTCAATAGAAGAAACTGAGGGAGCCCCAACATCAGAATATCCCAAAGCTCAGGGGTTAGAACCTGCTCCTGGGGAAGGGAGGCCCCTGTTCAAATCCTTCCCCTCCCCTCAGAGAGGGAGAGTGGGGAATTGAACCTGACTCTCCTACATCCCAGAAGAACACCATAACCACTGGGCTAACAGTTATAAGGTGGGTGGCAGCACCAGCATCACTTCCTCCTCTGGCTGTTTTGGACGGAGCAAGGCAGACGCCTAACTCATTCCTGCAAGAGGCGCCTAAACTGCCTGACTCCACGCTCTGGATTCCCATTCATGCATCACTAAGCAGAGAGAGGTGCCTAAGTCCAGGCTGCAGGGAGACGGGGCTATCTCAGAGGGAGTGGGGCAAAGGACACACCCCTCTCATCAGCATCTCCCATTGGCTATCTTAGACTGCTCCCCATCTAGTGTGTTGGCTTTTGTGGAATGCATTAAGAGGCACTAGTCTCTCCCCATTCCTTGTATAGGGGCCTAAATGAGACTCTGTGGATCAGTGTTTGTTCTGTGATTTTCTAGAGGCCTAAAAGTTAAGTGTTGCGATGTTCAGCATTGTAGCTCCTAGGTCCCTTTGTGGCTCCAAGCCTAAGTAAATAGTGATAGCATTAGTTGCAGTGATCAAATCCTACTTCCTCTATTTCAGTCACTAGGGGCTAAAAGAAGCAGGTGGTTATGAGCAAGTTCCGTCTCAGCGAGGCCCGGAAGTATACGTTATTCTCAGATTTCCTCTTTTGAGAATTTTTTCAATGTTTTATTAAAGTGAAACAGACATATTTGTATTACACCCAGGTGAGAAAAGCACAGATCCTGGAACATCTCGTTATGTACCCAAGTTCTCAATTATTTCTCATTTTTTTTAATTAAAATGGTTTCTAACTGGTAAACATGTTTATGTTCCTTTCTCTTCTCTTGCCAGAAAATCCAGAGCGTGAGAAAGTCATAAGTATGTATCACAATCAGATATTGTTTCTTGAATTTGTTACCTTAAGTACAGTTATGCTGGAAAATAATTCCTCTTGTTTTGTTTATAGGTAACTCTGGATGGTATCCAGACTGGGACAAGTATCCAGACCAGGATAAAGCCATGTGTGACCAGTACTGCATCACTGTTCTAATTTTAAGGCCATCGCTAATTGTACTGACTTTTGGAGCTGTCTGGTTTCTACAGAAGCATTATCCCCAAATATCTGTAAGTGACTAATATGCATTTGAAAGATTGCAGGAACACTTTGGGCTATTCTGCTCCTATTCCAAGTGCAGATTTCCCATTATTAGTGTGTGGGGAGTGGGGGGGAATCTAACACAATGATCTGTAGAATGAGGCCTATTTTATTAATGATAAATTGCATGTGATTTGAAAATAGATAAATGCAAAAAAGCCACCCACAACCCTTAATCCAAGGTAACTATCTGAATATAGGTGAAGGCTCACTGTAAGTCACTTGGTTAAGGGCCAGAGTTCAAGGCATGAATTCACCCTTCTCTTTTACGTGCCCTGATATTTGAGGACCTAACTGCACAAGCTTAAGGACATATTAACATACAGCTAATTAGTGCTGTCCTTACCCACAAGGATAGTTGAATAGAAGTCAATTGGATTACCTATGTGAGTAAATGAGGCAAGATGTGGCCTGTAACCTTTTGCATTTGACACTGTAGGTGTTTGGTTTTTGTTTAAATGTTTGAGGGGATGAAGAGAAGAGTCACAAGTTCCTTAGCTAGCAGGCACCCTCAGTCCAGCCAAAGGCCACCTGATGCCCTTCCTCATCCTCCTGCACCTCAGTCATATGTGCATTTCTTGACAGGCACCAGTTAGTGGCAGGTGACTAGTGTTTGTTCGTACTGTGGGCTGAGCACCGGATATAGCCGTGCAGTTATTGAAATGTGCATTCCCTCTCAGAGCTTGCAAAGCATAAACTTTTGTAACTGGAAAACTACTGATTAGATTTTCTTCACTTCGATCTTTTGATTAGATTGTGAGCTCTTTGAGACAGAGACTGTGTCTTTATTGTTGGGTGGAAAGCACCTAGCATGTTGTGAGGACTACCAGAATATAAAGAACAATAAACTCATGCTTTCTAGAGTTTAATGAAGTCTAAAAGCAAGTCAAATAGAAGAAAATACTTCAAACTTGCATTAAAAGTTATCTATTTCACTTTATACAATGTGCATCATAATTCAATAGTTACATAGCCTAAACAATGTTTACCTACAAGGGGCCCAATCTTGCAAACACTTAGGCATGTGAGTAGCTCTGCCTATGTGAACAAACCCATTAGTTTAACTATGCAAAAGAATAAAAGGACACAAATCTGACATCAGAAATCATAACATTAAAAAACCAGTAGGAGAACACTTCAACCTCTCTGGCCACTCAATAACAGACTTAAAGATAACAATTTTGCAACAGAAAAGCTTCAAAAAAACAGACTCCAACGAGAAACTTCTGAACTTGAATTAATTTGCAAACTAGATACCATTAACTTGGGCTTGAATAGAGATTGGGAATGGCTGGGCTATTACACAAATTGATTCTATTTCCTCATGTTAAGTATCCTCACACCTTCTTGTCAACTGTCTGAAATGGGCCATCTTGATTATCACAAAAGTTTTTTTTCCCTCCTGCTGATAATAGCTCATCTTAATTAATTAGCCTCTTAGAGTTGGTATGGCAACATCCACCTTTTCATGTTCTCTGTATGTATATATATCTTCTTAATATATGTTCCATTCTAGGCATCTGATGAAGTAGGCTGTGCTCAAATAAATTTGTTAGTCTCTAAGGTGCTGCAAGTACTCCTGTTCTTTTTCCGGATACAGACTAACACGGCTGCTACTCTGAAACCTGTCATTAGCTTAACTGACTACTTGTGAGAATGTTACTTATATGCATTAAGTGTTTGCAGGCCTGGGCCCTAGCCATTCCTCTGAGACCCCCCCAAAATAAAAGACAACACCCTCACTTGCTCATCTCATCTCTTCCAAAACATTTGGCCGAGTAAGAAGTATTTGCAACATCCCCTGTGACAAATCTTGGGGCTCTGTCAAAGAGAGCAAGATGATTTGGGGAATCTATGTGCAACCTACAAACTGTTTGGTGTTATTCACCCTCTGTAAGCCCTTACGATTATTTTAAACTGTATTATGACTACATACTCCTTGTGCTAAACACAAAGGGAAGGGTGCCTGACTGTCTGTCTTTGAACGAGACTCTGATGGGCCTTTAAAGACTGGAGGGCTGAGAAGTTGGGGAAGTTCTCACAGAAGGACTGACAGAGAAACAGGTTTCCACACAGGAGGGGAAACCTTTTAGACTGCTGGTCAGGCCAGGAGCTGGAGGACATTGACTGGTGGGGTCAGAGAGAGAGAGAGAGACAGAGACAGACAGACACTTCATGTTCTGAAGAAGTCATGTGCAGGAGGTAGGAGAAGGAGGAGGATCCTGGACACCGTAGAAGACCCTGACCAAATCCCAAAGAACCCTCAACAGTGGTGAGGAAATTGAGGCAGGGAATGGCGTATAGGTGTTTATTTTTTTGCCTAGATCTGTATGGCTCTCGTCTGTGCTGTCTAAAGTAAAGTAAAAAGAGGAATTATTTTTAGAAATCCTACTGTAAAATCTCTGTATTGTCTTCAATATCACAAGTCCCTGAAGGGGTAAACTATAAACCAGAGTGCCCGCATGTCTGGAGCCTTGGGAAAGGTTGTGCTTAAGCTACGAGGGATCAGCACCAGTCCTGGGGGCCTAGGGTAGCTGAACCATGATGTGCACACCCACTTCCAGAAGGGGTATCAGACAGAGAGTCTGTGCCCAGGAAGTGTACCAGTGAAGTCAAAGAAGAATGGTGACTGAATAGGGTAGCTACATTCCCAGAACATCGGACATTCTGGCACTTCCAGAAACACCATGGGCTTGCCCCAATCAGTGTGACCTTCCCCCCCCCCCCACCCACACCAGTATGACCCCATAAGCATGGAGCGTGTGAGGTAATGCCATATGGGGGAGGGGGGGACACCATTTTTCAAGAGCACACTGCCCTGCCTATGCCAGCTTGACCTGACACGCAGCATGGAGGTCATGGGGCAGGGCAGCACAGCACATTGTTCAAAATTGTGTTCCCTGTCTGATAATGGGTAAAACTACATCTGGTTTTGTCCCAGAACCAGATGGGCACAAACCTCTCCAAAAGGACTGTCTGGTATAAAATCAGACAAGAGGCATCCCTGTGACTGACACCTGCCTAGAGTAAAGGGAGCATAAGAGCACATGAGCCCAGCATGTGGGTCCAAGGACAGCGGTGTGTTGAGTGCCCAGCAGGGGGAGTTCCACTAAGGCTTTGTAAGGAAGCGCAGCATAAGTCCATTCCAATCATAGAATATCAGGGTTGGAAGGGACCTCAGGTCTAGTCCAACCCCCTGCTCAAAGCAGGACCAATCCCCAATTAAATCATCCCAGCCAGGGCTTTGTCAAGCCTGACCTTAAAAACTTCTAAGGAAGGAGATTCTACCACCTCCCTAGGTAACGCATTCCAGTGTTTCACCACCCTCTTAGTGAAAAAGTTTTTCCTAATATCCAACCTAAACCTCCCCCACTGCAACTTGAGACCATTACTCCTTGTCCTGTCCTCTTCTACCACGGAGAATAGTCTAGAACCATCCTCTCTGGAACCACCTCTCAGATAGTTGAAAGCAGCTATCAAATCCCCCCTCATTCTTCTCTTCTGCAGGTTAAACGATTCCAGTTCCCTCAGCCTCTCCTCGTAAGTCATGTTTTCCAGACCCCTAATCATTTTTGTTGCCCTTCGCTGGACTCTCTCCAATTTATCCACATCCTTCTTGTAGCGTGGGGCCCAAAACTGGACACAGTACTCCAGATGAGGCCTCACCAATGTCGAATAGAGGGGAACGATCACGTCCCTCGATCTGCTCGCTATGCCCCTACTTATACATCCCAAAATGCCATTGGCCTTCTTGGCAACAAGGGCACACTGCTGACTCATATCCAGCTTCTTGTCCACTGTCACCCCTAGGTCCTTTTCCGTAGAACTGCTGCCTAGCCATTCGGTCCCTAGTCTGTAGCTGTGCATTGGGTTCTTCCGTCCTAAGTGCAGGACCCTGCACTTATCCTTATTGAACCTCATCAGATTTCTTTTGGCCCAATCCTCCAATTTGTCTAGGTCCCTCTGTATCCTATCCCTACTCCTCCCAGTTTAGTATCATCCGCAAATTTGCTGAGAGTGCAATCCACACCATCCTCCAGATCATTTATGAAGATATTGAACAAAACCGGACCCAGGACCGACCCCTGGGGCACTCCACTTGACACCGGCTGCCAACTAGACATGGAGCCATTGATCACTACCCGTTGAGCCCGACAATCTAGCCAACTTTCTACCCACCTTATAGTGCATTCTTCCAGCCCATACTTCTTTAACTTGCTGACAAGAATACTGTGGGAGACTGTGTCAAAAGCTTTGCTAAAGTCAAGAAACAATACATCCACTGCTTTCCCTTCATCCACAGAACCAGTAATCTCATCATAGAAGGCGATTAGATTAGTCAGGCATGACCTTCCCTTGGTGAATCCATGCTGACTGTTCCTGATCACTTTCCTCTTATGTAAGTGCTTCAGGATTGATTCTTTGAGGACCTGCTCCATGATTTTTCCGGGGACTGAGGTGAGGCTGACTGGCCTGTAGTTCCCAGGATCCTCCTTCTTCCCTTTTTTAAAGATTGGCACTTGACTGAGAATACTGAAATAAAAGGTTTTGTTTTGCTTTGTTTTTTAAACCCAGGATTGCAGTTAATCGGATGAGGTGTTTGGGATAAGAGAATTTACAGACACAATGTGTTTCATTTGAGAGAGAAAAATCAAAGGATATGTCTCAAAAATCACAAGTGTAGCTTCTGCTAAAAATTGGACACTCTCTTCCTTTCAATCTCTATGGAAAGTTGTGGGGTTTTATTTTTGGAGTCACTCTCTGTGGTCATATGAACATCTGAGAACCGACTGAGATCTCAGCAGGGCTTTTTAGCGTCAGTCAACACATCTTTGGACTCCAGAACCCAACTAGCCAGATTCAGGCCTTTGGCTCTGATCCTACAAGTGACTTTACATGGATGGACCCCTGAACCCATAAGGAGCCTGGTGCAGGAGTCTGCTTGAGTGAAGTCACATGCAGATGTGTCCTTTTAGAACAGATTTAATTATATGCAGCCCAGTTCCTACGACTATAAAAGAGGAGCACACAGTCTGCTGCTGTTTTGTGGGAAGTGAAGTTAAACATAGTAAGATTTCTCCTCCCTGACATAGCTTACCTTGTGCTCTATTTTATTACACTTCCTTATTCTCCAGGGAAGAGTTTAAAAAGTTCAGAACAGTCACACAACATTTCAACACACACTCAAACATCCCTGTGGAAATACCCATACAAAAAGCTTCATTAAGATGGTTGTAAATCATAAACTTTAGATACAAGACCCCAAACACAGGATTTATCAAATGATTGAAAGCCAAGAAATTTAAAAGTTAAGGATGAACAAACAAACTCTGACCTGATGACACCCATTCAATGGCCACAAAAAACCCAGATACTATTTCCAGTCATCCCAGTAAGTCACCATAACTCATCCACATTTTCATTATGAACTACAAATCCTCACCTTCTATATGAAAAGTGCAAATTACATACAGGCCATCAGCCTTAAACACAAACCCTTTCCTGCTTCAGCTGCTCTATGTTTCTAGCCCATAAACATAATAATCCATTCAGTTAGGAACCAGACAGCCCAAACCACTGTAGATTGTTGCTGGGGAAAAAAAAATCACTATACCTGCCCTTTTCAACTCCTTACATAGCACACCATTAGAGTCATATACTCACATCCTCTCTTGAAATTAGACACAAAATTCACTAAGAATGATTATATGTAGCCAGTTATAAGTCAGGAATGAACACTGGGTGGGCATATGCATCAGTTTAGATTGTTTACAGAAACATAATTAGGCATTTCTTGATTTTCCAGTATATCACCTTTCTACCCCAAAACCCCTGAACAAGCCAACCATAAAAGAAAATAAAAAATTAAAAATACATAACGCTTCTGCAAGCAGAGTTCTTACTCTGAAACAGAAGCAACAGAGATTCCATGAAGTTAACTAGGGACTTAGTTATTGCTAGTGATTTTATTTGGCAGGTGCTCACATACTATAGTGATGGGTGGCAATATAAAACCCTAAGTTCAATAGGGCTTTTTCTTTATTTTTTTCCTTTTTACTTGAACCTTAATTTTGCATTTCTTGGTTTTCCTCTCACTCTCTCTCATATATATACTATTTTTTTTTTAAATCTCACCTATCAAAGTTTCTCTGGGGATAGTAACATTCTGAATAAAATGTAGTCATATCTAAAGCCAAATTTCAGGACAAAGGAAAAAGGAACACCATCAGCTTAACAAAAAAACCCTGTACAACTTCGTCAAAGTCCCCCTCCACCCCCGAACCTACTGTTGTTACAACTATTCAGATTTTTTTTTTTTAGTGAATGCATCTGTCAGCATTTTATGCCTAGTTCATTTCATTGTTCCCCTGTATAGGTAAATAAAGACCAATTCAGTATACATATATGTGAGTAGCTTTACTCCAGGCCAGGCAGTAGTTCCATCAAATTCAGTGCACAAATGACCCACCTGAGTTACAATTTGAAATCAATGGGGCTACTCTCACATATAAAGTTGTTCATATACATAAGTATTTGGAGTCTTAGGGCTTTAGTTAGTTTCTACTGTTGTTTAGTGGGTCTTTCAAACACTTACAAGTTAAAAAGAAAGTATGTTTAACAACTGGGAAAGCGCAGTTGTAAAACCACAG